GTTTGTTTATTGGACCTTTTTACGTCGGTTTTGTTAAGTGTTTAAAATTATCTTTACCACAAGAGCCTGATATAACATCCTTTTTCTTCATACAACTTCTTAGAAACAGTTAGCTAAGTGGGTTTATCTACCATTTGTAATAATTTCTAACAAATCCATTAATTCTTGACACAGTTCCTCAAAATAAAAACCATCTTCACTTCCACTGAATTCAGGCATTACCCAATCTTAACTCACACTACAATCATCGCCCAATTCGGAAGGTTCAACCTTTAATTCACCCATCACCGCATCACTTCAATCACCCAGTATCCTTAACCCACCCAGTATCCTTTACATTTCCATATCTGTCCCAACACACGTCTGCGCGCGCACCTTAAGATTTTAATGAGCAGACCTGCGCCTGCGCTGCACACGATTGTGTTCAGCTACTGTACACACGCGACGTTGCATGACCTCACTCTTTTTCTTCTCGTTCGTTATTAACGTTTTTATGGACCCGATGGCGATTATTGAGAATTAAAAAATGAGTTTCCATTGACGCCCAATTTCGCCAAGCTTGGTCTGACTGCTTATAAACTTTGGAAACGTTATTTTTCAAAACGACTCCACAAAGAATTCCAATGATGACACTTTATGATATTAATAAATGGATACCGACAGTCCACAACTCATCCTCACTGAGTCTCCACCCACGGAACTTGCTTACATAATTAATTATTTAACCATTTTTAAACAGGATAACGCATAGTCTATTAAAAGGTAATGAAATATTCATACGGTGGCACGTATTACGAAGTATGACAGACAAAATTTGCCTACAATAAGAGTGGATAGTTATTAGCGATGGATATTTTTAGACCAAAGTGTTAGGTCACATGACTACGACTAGTGATGAGTTATAAGTGATTAACCCGAATTCATTTGGCATTTGAATGGAGCGAGCGACTGATCTCTGGACGACTGAAGTGAATACTATTATGGAAATAGGATCAAAGATATCTCAGGAGCCATTGACATTCAACTAAGTGTCTCATTCATTAATGTTTTACCAGATTCTAACTCTTTTGCAATTTAAATAAGCCGGACGGAATTATTTTCTAATGTCAATCATTGCTAAAACGAGAGTCATAGAAAAATATTAGAGCATTTTTTTCTAAGAATCTGAAGATAATGGATCAAATGGATTAAATCTACTTTCAGACAGTTTAATGTGTGGATTCCTCAATTCTGGGAGAGTAGAAACATTTGACTGATTTCGCGAGATTTGTAAAGAATCTATAAAACTTGTTTGAGCCGTTCTATTTCCAAGATTATTTGGTGGCCAGACTATTTATATGAGGGGCGTGGTCAGGACAATAATGGCAGTCAAACGGGATGTGGACGTGTAGGGCCAATTTATGACCGGAACTGCTTTATAGAGATTGACCGATTGAAGACCATTTCTGGTCAATTAACGGACAGGACTTGGGACTTTAAGGGACAAAAAATAAAGGTTTTTGAAGCACAATAGATAAGTGTTAGACGGGAGGCTTTTAGCATGTTGATCTGAGGTTATTTTGGGATTGTTTGGTGCTATTTTTTTCGCTTCCGTTGTAGCTATTATGATTGCTGACACCTTGGAAGATTCATTCATTACTACAAAATTTTGTAACATGATTTGCTATTTTTTTAATGTTATCAGAAAATTCTTCTTCTTATCTTTCTTCTGCCATGAAATGTTTCTTGTTGCACTTCTAACAGGACGAACCAAACATCTCAAGATAGTGAAAACAATTTATAAATATACTAGCAGCAATAACAAACTCACTCAAAGCACTTGAATATTTAAAATGTCTATTTAAAATAGCGTGTCTCATTTGCAAGAATGTTGAACAACAAAGAGTTGAGTCCTTTATAAAGCCAAACTTCGTTACCGTGTCCAATGCATCTCTTTTCATTGTCTTTTGGTGAAAATTCATTAGTTTCATATAATTTGTGTTTTATTTCAATATTTCGAAATTACAATGCGATTGTGTATATCTCTCAACAATACTAATAATCACTTAATATTAGTTTTATTTAAATTTGAACATTTAAATGTGTTTATTTTCATCCTATAAAATAATAGAACAAGTGCGTTTAAGTATACCTATACTTCTCAAGTTCCCTTTTTTATCAAAATACGGAATCATTTGATTTCAAGCGACCATTTAAAAGTTTTTAGTTTCCCTATAAATTGTCCCAAAATGTCTTCTTAACTACACGTCACTTGAATCAAAAAGATAAACATTACAGTAAATGTCATCATAAACATAATCTATCCCTCTCACATCTCATAAAAGAGAAAAGGAACAAAACAGTCGACGATACAACAAGATCCAAACATATCAGATTGATTCAGAACATCAATGTCTATGTTTACATCTCGGAAAGGCTATCGATGACAAGAAATCTCGAAACGTTTAAATAAATATCATGTATCGAGATAAAAATTACACTCTTCATAAGCGAAGATATTATAAATGATAGAGTTATTGCATCTAATTGGCGGAGGATTTCGTGTTACACACCAAAACAATAGTGAACCACACACGACGACCAATCACGACGCGATAACGCCTTTGTCTCTACTTCAATAATAATGGTTTTTTCTTCGATGATTTGTGAAGCCAGGACGTTCACAATGAGGACGGAGTGGGATGCGGGCGGCTGAATGGTGCTTTTATTGTGGCCGTGAGCTTTTGTGGCGACACATGTGCGACCCAAGTTACCAACACAATTTACACGCAAGTGGACGCTAACGGAATCTAACTATTAACAAGAGAGCATTCTTCTCCATCTAATAAATATACAACAAGATTATATAAGATACGGCAGATAAAGATTAGATAACTCACCGATAAATAATGATCCCCTAGTATAATTAGATACGAACATCGAAGCAGTGAATGGCCACAAGATAAATGTAACAACAAAAAGAACATCACGTGGAAATCGAGGCAACAACGCCAATGATGCAAAACAACAAACTAATGCGACACGCAGCGCGTACCAAGCCGGAGCTAAAAAGGTTGAAACAGAATTAATAGGCGAAGTGGCGCGATACCTATACATCAGTTCAAAGGGTTCCAGTTAATGAATCAAACGACAGGCGACTCGCAACACCTCTTTTGTGGCAGGACAAAATTGACTTTGACGGAGCGAACGAAGCCAAAATAACCGATCGTGTCCAACCCATTGTGCGTGCTATAATTAGAACGCTTGGAAATAAACACGTGGTGGCAATTATCGCAGCAACGGGTTAAATGAGGCACCGAGAAACGGTCGTTAATGGGTACACCCATCCGGCGACGAAATCCTTCGCCACGGACCGTGGATAAAGGATTACTGGACTTCCGAGAAAACGGACGTCTTTATACAAGCAATTTCATACCCGATTTTACATTCACCATAACGAGTTGCACAACTGATATAAATAAGACGTAGGAAATAACGAGTTTATCGAACGGGGATGGAACCTTTAAGTAAATGCTGACTTCAGCTCAAAATATCTTCCCGTGTGAAGATTTAAGAGGTATTTTCATTATGGTTCTGTTATCCATCAGCCAACTGTTATTGATACTTTAACTGGCACTGGAGAGCTAAAATATTACCACTTAGGTAAAGGCATAAAGGTGCATATATCAATATCTTGGCTAAATTCCGAGTGCTTAGTAAATTAACATTTTAAAATTTCGTGGCGCAGTGAGGGTTAAGTCGAGGCGTGCCTTGAGGCTCGGTACTGAGGCATTAATCATTTCAGTCGGCCGGCTCGGCCCGGCCGCCGCCATACATCACGCTCCCTTTGAGCACAGCAAGTAACTCATTTGTTGAAACGCACCGTCCTGCTTTTATTAACGTCCATCCTAACATTGTAAATGTCTCAATCCCTTTGACGACTTCCTGCTCATCACTCGTCACCGCATCGATTCAGGTGCCGATCCAACCTTTTTTGGTGTTTACGACGTCATTTTTATATCGCCCTGTTACTGAAGATTAATGCTGTCGTCAAATCAGCCGGCTCACGGTGTCCGATGTTTTGCAATAAATTATCATTAAGTAACACGTTGTCTCACCTGGACGGGGTTTTATGGTCGGCCGGCCGTAAACCACAGTTAATACGCCGGCTCTAATCTAATCTAAAAGTTTTCTACCTGCTCCCGATATAAATTCCCCGGCAAGACGTAAAAAGCGAAGCCGGAGTAAAGGCAATATTACTAATGGGGACGAGCATATGCATAAAGGTGCACAAGAAACAAATATGAATTTTATTACTGATAATGCAGTTACAGTTTTAATTGAAACCGAATACAACAAAGTGATGTTTTGGATTACAGTTAAGTTAAAAAGGTAACATACGCAATTATGTAATAAAAAGGTTTCGCAGCATGTAAAATGTTTAATGAACCACTCTATTTTATGGAGTTGGCCAATAAACGTGGACGACGGTTAGAAGCAAGCGTGTAACGTGAAGCGATCGTAATATTAAAGGACACTTGCCTTGCAAGCGAATCATAATAAAATTACATATGTAGATGGATTCTTCTGATACGAAAGCGCTCCGTCGTTCGGACGCTAGATTATGATAAGCGAGGTACTAAAACGTTGATAGAACTGAGTGTGCTGCAAATTGCAGTATTTAAGACGAAATTTTAGCAAATGTAAAAAAGATGAATTGGCAAACGCTTGGGTTGCAAGCCGTGAACATATACCGCGTCGCATTAATAAAACATTGCGATTCCATCTTCTTAAATGAATGATCATCAATAATATCTTTATTACTCCAGTTAATGTTGCGGAGTCAATAACTACAATATTAATTTATGTGCTTCTGTTGTGTCTTGTGTTCATTTGTTCTTTTATTTTTCCATATTAATATGAACACTTTTAATAACAATTTTAATTGCATATTTTATTTTCAGTCTTGAACAAGGACTGTTTTTTATTAGGCAAGAATATTAATTGAAAATATCACTTACTGGGCATGATGATGATAATGTGTAGCGTGATGCATAGCCGTAGTAGGAGTGCCAGGTGGGGTCGAAGCATGGAAGGCTGCAAACGCCGAGGGGAACTGTAGTGGTAGGAAACCACTGCCTGCACTCCCAGGACCTCCCACCGACTCCCGATCAGGCATTATTTACAGTCCTAACACTGCGACATCATAGTCCTTCACCACTAACAGTCAACACTTCATCACTTTCTAGAAGTTCAATCACAACCACTATTATATCTTTAGCACCGTATATAAAATCTTCTGTCAGGTCAGTTCCAACCTTATCCCGTCCATCTTTAACACCAACGTCATTATGTACTTATAAATGATAATTTTGAGCATCGTTGATTACAGAACGTCGTATATTGTCCAAATAATCTCCCATGTTTCCGGTTTTTGCTTCTGAAACAAAGAAATAATTACTGTTAATTATATTTTCGCCTTTAAATTCGGTAGCTGCATCGGAATTGCTAAATTAGAATGTTTTGTACGGTTAAACAACAAGTGTGAATGGGATCGTGTTAAGATTGCGTGCTTGTGTGTTGTTACTTCAATTGCTACCATTATGTCTTCATTTTACGAGCCCGCAAGACGAATTACCCAGTTCGTATTAAGTTGTTTGTAACTAATGTACGTGTTTAGACTATTTTATAGCAATATTGTATTGTGGTTGGCGTTAGTTTGGCACTCATTAACTAGCTTGTTTATTGCTTCTACGTTAACTATGGTATAGTTTGTGTGTTCGGTTGCTACATATTTGGTCGCTACAGGTTTGTGTTCATTTGATACAGTAGCATACTAATTCATTCATTCATTCATTTTAATGTTCTTCATTATTAGCTATTTCAACTACGAGATTGATACTGTTTACTGAATTTTAATTTGTGCTATTATTATCAACATTCGTTTAATGTTTGTTTACTAGCCTAAAATTATTTACTAGTTGGTTTAGGTAACTGTTGTGCAAACTTGGCGCGTAGCTAAACCTACATAGTTTCATGTTAATTAAGTTTATAATTTGCATGGGAAATGACACGATTGACACGTAAACATACATTAATTCCTATCGATATACGCTCCTTTTCATTAACTTTACTTCTTATGACTACTTACTGTATTCTAAGTAGCTATTAATACTGTTATTAAATTTGTAATTAGTATCTACCTCTACCTTGTAGGGAATTTCTAATAGTATTTCATTTCTGGTTTTTTACCAGCCATTTTACCAGCCTTGATATTACCATGTTCACTTGTTTCTGTGTCTATTTTACTATTATTGCAAGTAATGTCAATTATTATCGACTGATTACATCAAAGCTTAACTTTGGATTCACAAGTGGAGCATATCTCAACGTGAAAAAAATGCTATTTTATACAATAATATAATTAACTACGTCTATTGACTTGTCTATTTACCTTGTTTGATTAGGATTTATTCCATTTCTCTTGGGCACGCTAGACCGTTAATCTATTCGTATACTGCATACGTTCATCGCAAAGTTCAAGTAAATAACCTAGGCACTAAAAAGTATAGTGAAAATTACTATCTTTTATTTTATTTGTGGCTAAATTATAAACATCCGTTTGAACACAGTTAACTATAGCAATTTTTGAATTAGTTAAACTATTATAACGCGTAGCTATCAGAGACGGACTGTGGTAGCAAAAATCATACAGACAAACATACATAGCATCACGCTTATCCCCAAAGGGGTAGACAGTGGGGCACATCACGGCACTTAATGCCGCTGTACAAATGTAACACCCTCTTTTCACTATTTATGTTATGAGTTCCATGTATTAGGGGGTGAGCCTATTATGGTCAAATGGTCAAATAGTAAAGGCAATAGCCTTTTATGGTGCAGAATTCCAGACTCTGTGCTACTACTGAGATTTTATTTAAGCCCAATTGTTCTTTGCCCGGCCCGGGAATTGAACCATTCAGGCAACAAGGCTGTCAGATATCTACCTACCTAAATAAAAAATATCTGTCATTCTTTAAATGAAAGTAGGTTTATTATTACAATCCTGTTCTTAAGTCATTATAATCATAAAGATGATTGTACTGAAAAAAGATTTTTACTCTAAGTCTCTTATATATGTAGATGGAACTGTTGCGGTACCATCAGGTTCTCAGTTGCCTAAATAAACCCTAGGCAAGTCCGACCCTGTTAACAATTCTTCCTCATATAATTTCTTTTCGTTCGCAGTCGTGAGCATCATTACTGTCACGAACCTCTACACTATTCGTTTCAACTAACTACGTCTATTCATCTGTTGTTTTGACTAGAACACGCACTCCACGACCTAGAGGAATTTCTGAAACTTATTTTCTATCGTTTATTAAATTACTATCTAGTTCAGCTTTGTCTGCCTCAAACGTATTTTTGCCTTAAATATCTAGTTCTAAGTTTCTTTTATATTTTCCAGAATAAGTCTTAGAGAAAAATGAAACGTGGTTTATCATGGACAGTGCACAATTTCTTCATCAATAGATGTCAGGCACTCAAGAACGTCTTCCGAGGTTTCTCCGAAGTACTTTTTGTTATCAACATTCTCAACAGTATCAATAGCAATAAGTCTTGAATTATCTTTAGTGTTAGCAAAAGACTAGTCTTCAATTACAATAGATCTAATTACACAATTAACAAATAGGCCAGCTTAAGTTCACCTCTGCTTACTCATTTATGATGAAGATGAATATGAAGTGATGTTATGTCCCTATCTCTTTGGTACAGATCCGGTTTTCTAACCTAAGTATCTGTACGATATTTCCATGCAATGTCGCGACCTAGTTTGTTTTTGCAATTGATGTCTGCTTTGACATCGCTAAGGTTGATTTGATGTACTGAAATACCACGGCTTTTGTGCTAGTTAATAGTTACTATAGCGATGTGTTTATGGCTAAATAACTAAAACTTTAATACCTAGTATTCTAGTAGTTATTCTATCGAATATCGCAATCTTTGTTATGGGGATGTTTAGGTAAGATGACAGCTATTTCCTGGCTTAATGACCCGGGCCTTGTATACGTTGCAGACTCTGAGTGCATTACATTCGAAAACAAAATCATAAGAAAATCTCACCGAGTAATGAAACCTTCGTACTAGGCTGGCAAACATTTCTTTAGCCTTATAAGTCACATCAGTATTACTATAATTAAATAATATTTAAGTAATTAAACAAAGAAGTCTTCATTACCACTTCTTCGTTTACCCTTTAGTCTTCTTAATTACTCCAAAAATTACGTGGACATGGGAATCGGCCCTAATTACCCCTGAATCTCGACAAGTCGTGGTGACAAAAACTCGAATGAGGCCGGGCGACAAATTGAGAGACTCGTACGAGCAGCGACTTGCCATTATCACTTACGAGGAAAATTGGTGTGGAGTCGAGTTGTAGCGGGAATGACTATATTAAAAAAATAAAGGCGACGAATTCAGAACATCGATCGTATTTCTTCGTCAGTTAGCGGACAATTTAATGTAATGATTTTTTCTGATACATTAGATAAACTCTATCATAATATAATAGGTAGATTAATTTTGATGCATTTGTTACCTCAAGTAAAAAATGCATTAAAAAAATCTAATGATACTTTGCTCAATCTCTCGATCGGCTCAAACTGATAATAATTATTCGACCAATGAGGTAGATACAAATCAAACTTTGATGACACTACCCACAAATAAAATTAATATACCAATAACAAATAAAATACAATTAATTTCCACAAGGCCATACAAAGTGACGCAAACTCTAATCGCTTCAGCTTATCACTAACACCCTATCAAATAGGTTGCCATCGGAAAAATTCCTTCCGTAATTAATGAAGATGTGATTGTTAGGGACGTGACTCGAGTATTGTCCTCAATAAGGCCACGACTTATACTCGAGTAATGAATCGATCGTAAAATCCGATATCGATATATCGATACTCATTTTCATTCAATGAGATTTACGATGTTTATGCATGCAAAATTGGCGGGCGTTTCGAGTGTCGACTTTTATCGGCCATTCAAAAATCGAATTGTGAATTTTGAATTTCGTATGCGCTGGATTAATGGCGAATTTTATTCTTATTTGCCGCTTTGTAAAGTGTCAAGTGATTTCCAAGTTTTTTTTATATCAATCATAACTTTCGCAATGTTTTATATTTGGCGAGCGAAAGTAATAGAGGTGACGCCCACACAATTATTGATAACGAATCCTTGTGTTGCAATGAATATAAATACTTTCCAATGACTACAATGCTTGCTTGTGTAATACTATTGGCAATACCATAACAATCTAAGGTCCTGCTGAATTGAGTTCTCTGAAACAAAGACTTGTGATATTTGACCAATAGCATTATATGAAATTAGACTATTATATACATGAACCTTCCCTCACGGCTTTGTTTACCTTTAAAAAAAATTATATTTTTTACCATTTTCCAGCGTTGTATAAATCAACATATTCATAAAAATCGACAATATTATCGATTCTTTCACAACACTATCCCTAAAATGAGTGCGGCAATGCGCGGACGCATGCCGCGTCTCTTAATACGGCCCTTAATTACGATTTAATTGTTTTTAGCGGTGGAATTGTTCCGAGCCTTTCTCAGAAAAGAGACCAGACTGGATCGATGGTGTTTTTAGATGCATTTTAATCATTCTAGACCCCTAATCAGACGAATATTTTCGATAAATTAACGTAAATTAGCCATTTATACATATATGAAACGGTATCACGCTTGCTTTTCTCTCGAAGAGGCTATCAAAGGCTTTTTACTTCTCACTTTAATTGTATTCCTTTGCCAGTAAATATTTTCTTTTCTGGATTCGAGATGTTTTAGTATACAGCCAAACATGTATCAAAAGAATATGTACTGTCTACTATTGTAATTATTTAAACTAAATTCAGAAGAAGTTTGTAGAGTTTTAAATAACAAAGTCATAAATAAAAAGTAAGATAATTTTTTTTATTAATTTTGTTATGACTTTAATGCAATAACGACTATTTTGCCTTAAACGACCTTTGTCCTACCGTCCAAACCTCATCTTAGTATTCCTTTAGTATTGCGAAATGTGAACTAACAAGTCTGCGGAAATATTATAGTTTGTAATTAAACGCGGAATAAGGCCTCACCTATCGTTTGACTTCTAACACTAATATAGATTAGTTTTATTTCGCATAACTCACTTATCGATAACAAAGGTCAAATTACTATTTGATATAGTAGTCCAAAGATTACTCATTCAGATTATTGTTATAACGTTTATGTTTATTATATTTTAACTCTTAATTAACTGTTTGTTATTATGTCGTAACCACCTATTAAGAAACTAAATAATAATCAAACAAGGAATAGAGTTATAAAGTTATTTATCGATATCGATAGACAGGATTTGAGAATC